TTTATGTTGATGATAACACTTATTTTAAAATTGTTGAATAGTGTCACCATGCTCTACTCAATATCTTTCTCCAACAGAAGATTCTTTCATTAATATTTGAAAACTGTTCATTCGAAACATTGTCGATGAAATGAGAAAATGAATTTGTCGATAAAACGGGAAAAAAAAATTGTCGATGAAATGGACTAATTAAGGAAGTGTCGATGAAACGGGAATATACCGATAAATATATCAAATCAATGCAATATATGAAATGAGTTCATTTAAATCAATTTATAAAGTTATTAATTGGATAATTATCATTTTAATAATCTTAAAGATTTTGAATTTTATTCTTATTTATCATATGAATGAGAAGAAAACTTACTATAGATATTATTTTACATAGAATATAAATGTTTCTAGAAAAATTATAATAAAATAAGTATTAATATCGTCATTTTCATTTTAGCTTTTAATCATATATTTCTAAATAAGGAAATTGTGGAATAAAAACGATAAAATAGTTTTAACTGAAAAAGTGCAACATCCATCTAACGAAAGAATCTCTTGAGGTGATGAAAAGCTTTTCGTGTTTGATTACTTTTGTCATATGGGTCCTTGTAAATAGTGACATACCCTAAATTGATTCATCTACCTATTGTTTTGGGATAGAATTATGGACGATTTACTTGTTTTTTTCGACTTCTGGCATCTTGAAAGCACAATAGCAAAAGAATGAATTTTTATCTTAAATTTTTTCTATAAAAAGATCTTATGAACATCAAAATCTACAAATTTCAAAAAAGAATGAATACATCCTTCTTGAGGTATTAAGTTCTCAAAAAATAACGCTATTTCTCATACTCAATTAAAATTTATCTTAGAAAACAGTCTTTTTTTCAAAATTCTACATCTTAAGAAGGATGTATTTATATTGTCTGAAACTTGTAGAATATTTTGCTATTCTTAAGACTTTTTATGAACAATTTAAGCTCAAAATTCATTATTTTGCTATTATACTCATGATGTCATAGATCGAAAAGTCAGAAGATCATCTATGCTTTCATCCCGAAACAATAACTAGATGAACTACCTTAGGATGTTTCAGTACTTACCAAGGCATATACGATAAAAGGAGCTAGAGTCTAAAAACATTTTTATTACCCGAAGAAGTTCCCTTGTAAGATAAAATATTTAGTTTATTGAATAGTTCTAAAGACAAATATCATCACATACATAAATTTCAGCATTATTAACAAAAGGTAAATACTTAGATTATAAACAACATTATAAGCATAATAAAATCTCTTCAACAATTTTTTAAATTTTTTCATGGTTTAGATAAACATATGTTCACTTCAATCTACAAAAATCAAATTTTATCACTTGTTATCGATATTAACACAAATGGAGAAGTGTATACAACAAAAAATATAAATAAACTCTTATTTTCCCAAATCTTTACTACATTTAGTAATTTACAATCATTAATTTTTTGTCCATCTTTAATTCATTATCAATATTTATTCTTCGATATTTTTCCTTCCACAATCGTCTCTTCAGCTCTATTAGAATTACATGTTTGTTTGACCAACTTTCGCGATTGTCTTTATCTACTTGATGAACGTTTTAATCAGCTTCGTATATTTCATGTTAATATTGCTGTAATTAATCTTGCGAGTTTAACATTCAATAATAAGGTAGATTATTTTACTTAATATTCAATGTATTCAAATAAATACTAATTATTATCTTTAGAAAAAACTACCTAACTTAAGATCGTTTAAGCTTTCTAGTGATAATATTACCGATGGTTATGATGAATTAATTTTGCCACTTTTACATCGAATGTCGAATTTACACGAACTTAATTTGTCTCTGTTTGTTTGGACGACTGAAACATTTGTTGACGGTAATAATTTGAAAATAAGTATTATCAATCATATGGGATTATTAAACAAATTTACATTTAATATTGTTACAACCACTAGCTTTTATAATCAAACTAATTTACCATCTAATGACTATATTCAAGAAACATTCAAAGATTTTGAAAATAAACAAATTATTTCGTCTGTTGATTATTTTCAACAAAATAAATCTAGTCAATGTCATATTTATTCATATCCATATCAATTAAAAGATTATGATAATATAACAAACAATTTTCCAGGTGGAATCTTTATATCAGTTCGTAGAGTATCATTATTTGATGAACGTCCTTTTGAACATGAATTTTTTCTTCGAATTGCTCAATCATTTCCATTTATGGAAAAATTAACATTAATAAATAATAAGCGACAAAACAATAAACAATTTGGAAAATCAAAATATAGAAATCAAGATTTGTCAATTATTCAATATCCTTATCTTATTGAACTTGATCTTTGTAAAGCTCAGAAAGATTATTACGAACAGTTTTTATTTGACACTAAAACATGTTTACCAAATAATATTTGTGTTAATATGGATTATCGACTAGTAAAAAAAGTGACACGAAATTTTCGAAGAAATACTACACGAAGTAATTGTGCCAAAATGGTTTTCATACATTTTCGGAAGAAATCAAAATTTCCTGAACATTTAAAGGACTATTTCCCTCATGCGCGTATATGCTGATTATTATCGATTATTCAAATAAAACATGAATAAAACATTGATTTACATTGAATTTTAATACTAGAATGTGTGAAAGAATAAAAATAAAGGAGAATGATAATAGTTGAAAATAGTGTACGAGATAACATCCATTGTCATAAATGAATATATGCTTATCTACTGATAAATAAATTTTTGAGAAAGAGTCGAAATTGAAAAGTAACAGATATTGAAAGAAAAATAAATTATTATTTCAGGTTATTATTGAAAAATTTACATAAGATATAAAAATAATTGAAAATGATTGGATATAAACTAAGAATAAAATAGATTTGGAAATCAATGTATTTCCATTCATCAAGTAATATAGACAAGTGAACATTCATTATATATCAAAGTTAGTGCAATACACATGCAAATTATTAAGTAGTAGACAATCTGCCAATAGAACTGCTTTGAGAAATAGGTTGTACAATAGATGATTTAAAAATTGATTGAGGCTCAAATTTTTCAAAATAATCAATAAATAACTTATTTCTATATATAATTAAAAACGTCTTGCTTGAGATCTTTTTAAATCCATTTTATTGAAATTTTTCATTTGAAGTGGATAAACAATAGAAATGGGCAACTCCAACTGGAAGTTAATTCCCGACTTGACGCTTTTTTCATTATAGTTGAAATGAAATCTTGAAATTGATGAATGAAGTTGCAGTAGATATGAAATGAAGTTTACGTTTGTTTTTTTTCAATGTCGATTTAATTTCTGTTAATTTCATGACTTGCTAAAATAGAAGGAAAAAAAGAATCCACAATAAAAACAGACATACGTACGTCTGGAATTCATGGTGCAATTAAGAGGTCTGCGAATGGATGACCTTGCGTAGTTTATTCTTGAGATCATATTAAGTTAATTATCAAAAGTTATGTTATTTAAATAAACATTTATTGAATGTAGTCAATTATAGAAGTAATATTTCAAGTTGATGGAAAAATTATACGGTAGAATTATAATTCCTGATTGATATTATTTGTAGATTTATATTAACAAACTTTGATTTTTTTAACTTTATATTTAAACGAGTTTGACTTTATAGAATCGGATTTGGAGTTGCAGTGATACACACTCGCGATCGCGAAGTTGCTCATCTCTGACAAACAAATTTCTACAGAGAGCAAATCGTTTTCTCTCGAAATATAATGAAATCAACCATCAGTAACATATGGCAATTTTCCCAAATCATACCGCTAAATTTTCTTTAGTCATTCAAAATGACGAGCATATATGAATTGATCGTTGATAGTAGGTTGTAGGTTAGTCAGTCTCATGTTGATCAATCTTTGCAAGTACGTCACATTTATAGGTGAAAATCGTCGTGCTCATCTAGCATATTTATATTATAATTTGCATCAAGCATTAACATATTAAAGTACATAATTTATTTAAATAAATTCTATACATAGCTCATTAGGTGATTAGAAATTTTAGTTACAAATTAATTCAATAACTCGTGTATATCTATTTACGACAAATAAGCTTTTCAGAAAAATCTAAGTTATTGAGATAAAAACAAGTGATTGAAATAATTTATATAGTATAATTTGATCAATAGTAAAAACATTTAATTATATTTATATTAAGATAATGTTTCTTCCACTAGTATCTTAAAAATCAAGTTTATCATTTGTGATGAGAACTATTAACAAAAACGAACGTTTTACAATTGATGAAAATAGATTTGTATCTAATCATATCTTTACTTAGTTGATTAATTTATGATCTTTAAATTTTGATACAGCATTTTTTAATTATTATCAATAAATATCTTTTAAAAAACCATTTTCAATCCCTTCAGCTTTGCAACGATTACATGCCGAAATAGTGTGTTTGTCTTACGATGAAATAATCATAAAATTGTACACCGAATATTCAATTTAAAACAACTTGTTTTGTAGAACTTACATATTTGACGAAGGAAAATAGAGATTGTAAGTATTAAGGCGAAGTTTTCCAGCTTCTTCCTACGCCCGTATTGCAGACACTTAGCAACCGAGGTCAAAGATCAACGGATACATTTCCATAGCAACCACGGGAGCGGGTGTCTACAAGCCATGCGATTTATTTTTCCATAACAATGAGGGAATGTTTATATGGAAGTTTCCACAGAAATTTGAGTCAAAGAAACATTGTTCCAGTACTCGGATCAAAGGTCAACGAGTACAGCTTTTAACACGGGGAGGGAGAGCTTTAGTGTGTGGGTTTCTCTAGCAATATGGGGAGTGGATATTAACAGGATGTCCCCATAAGAATTAGGACTTTTACGTCACTCTTGAAACTGTTTTGAGAGATATATCAGCATGTATACTGGCAGTAATAAAGACGTTCTATATACTTGTTTTGTCTGGTACATCTGGGATTGAAAACACTGCTGTATTACTTCAATCTCTTTCTCCTTGAAGATGCAATTTATAATACATAGAGTTTGTGAGTTCAACATTTTGATCTCACACAGAACCGCATTGAGAAGTCTTTTTTATATTTTCACGTTCCTCACCAAACAATATTTATTAATGAGAATAATTTGAAGGAGAATATTATCAATCATATCTCGTTATTAATCTAAAGTAAATAAAGAAAAGTTATATCTGATAAAATTATTTGAAATTAACAATCATTTTAATTTATTGTATTTTCGACTTTCAAACGACACTAAAAGGATAAAAACAAATATTAACATGTTCAGTGAGAAAAGCGCAAGACAAAAAACATATAACAAGCATTGTGAAAAGATTTATTTGAAAAAAAAAATCATAGGAAAACTTTCTTGACAGTGTAAATGCACAGTTATATAGAGATATCCATGAAATAATAAACAAATAATATCAGACAATATAGTAAAAAATAAAAATAGATTAGATTTCAGTTTTCGAACAAATTTCTTTGAAACTTCATATACGTCATATTCAAACAATTTCATCAGAATTAACTGTAACACTGATTTGGATAATGATTATATTAGGTATTACTTATCAAATTTTATATCATGAAAGGTATAAATGGCTGGAAAGAAGTTTTTATGTTATTGTCCATGTTATACATACAATTATCATAGTTGACATATTTTTTTTATTTCATTTATTAAATTTACTCCGAAAATATTGATGCATTTGAATTGGCTGTTGATGATCTAAGTCTTTATCGTGGGTATTATTTTCTTTAAATGTAATAGTATCCTTTCATTTGCTCATACAATCTGGCATTTTTTATTATTTTTATTCGATGCTGCCATAGATTACTATACTATTTACACTTATCTTCTCATACTATTATTGTGTTTTCAGATTGAAATTTCTTATAAAAGATAATTATCTTGAAAATAATTTACTCAAAATCTAATCTATTTTTATGTTTTGCTA